ACTTTTTAGTCATTCTATCAGTTTGAGAGCCTGACTCATTTTTCTTTTTTGTCTTTTCCCCATTAGAATGTAGGTTCAATGAGAGCAGATCCCTTACCTACTTTGTTCACTGTTAAAGCTCAGCATATAACAGTGCCTGCCATATTATTATTTTAAATCCTGACTTTTAACTCAAAACAGAAACAAATATGACATCTTAATGTTCTACTTTAGATCAGAATCTAAACACATAGAGAAGCCACAGTGCTGCAAAATATGTACCAAAAATATAGTCTTTAAATATTTGAGCACCTCATGTTGAGGAGGCGCTGTTCAGGTTTAAACTATACTCGATTGGGTGATACAGTCAGATGCCATGTCTGGCCATGAAGTTTAACTGTTCAGATAAAGAAGTGAGAACCTTTGCTCCCTCCACTGTGGAAGGGATCTTTACCTAGAGCCAAATGATAAAAGTAGAAAACATTTAAAATAAACTCAACCCACTGAAGTTGTTTTTTTAAAAACGTCTCATTCTAATACATACAATAAAACCTAGGCAATTGATATTCCAAAGAACTGAAAATTTATCCAGTGAAATATTTAATTTCATACTTGGGTCATTTGAATGGAACTTTTTCTATTTCAAGTGTTTCATTTAGCTGCATTTTTTAAACAGAAAACACTGAATATATAACTTTCTCTTGTTGACCTGTGCTCTAAAAGCACAGTGACATGAGATCAGACATAGTCACAGATCAATGAAGAAAGACAAACTTGTAATGTATTCTGATTTGTAATGATCTGTTTTTAATTAATTCTGATTATTTAATTTTTAGTGAAATAACTGAAGGAGTATCATGAGAAAAGCAGTGTGTAACAGTGGTACAATTACAATAACCAGTATATCAATTGTAATAACAATTAAAATAACTACCTTCAGTAGTTAGAAGGTCAGAATTGTGGTATTATCTCTGTCGTTTTTAGCTCCGTCATCATGGGCAAATTAATTAACTTCTAATTTTAAAATAAGAAGGATGTGAGGAAAAATATTTTAAAAACTATGAAGCTCTAGGTAGGCTTAAGCCCCTGGGAAACCACAAGTCATTTGAATTGGAAATGCTTTGCTGCATACTTTGTACCTAATATCTTTTGGTTGACTAGTCAATATTGCTCAGCGTTTGAGGTTTTGTGCTTATGTCCAGAGTACACTGATAGGAATCGCTTTGTTAGAAATCACTTTGATGTTACCAGCATCAGTTTTGTCCCTAGAGCTCTCTTGTTTTCATCTAATACACTTCCTTTGGAAACATCAGAGATCTTACAATGTGTGTGTAGTCTTTAACATTTTAAGGAATGAAGGGCATAGAGGGCTGGAAACATGATTACTAATTGTATTAGCCCTTTTCTGTTGCTTATAACAAAATACTTGGAACTGGGTAATTTATAAGAAAACAGGATTTACTGCTTACAGTTTGGGAGGCTAGGAAGTCTACAGTGCAGGGAACACATCTAGTGAGGGTCTTGGTGGTGGCGACAGTGATCCAGGGATCTCACACAGCAGAAAATGGTGGAGCAGAGAGAGTGAAAGAAACTTTGTGCTCCCTTTTTAAACCCCTCAGAACCACACCCCCACCATTTTTAATCCATTCATTGTGGCATGGTCCTACAATGTAATCACCTCTTCAAGGCGCCCCCCCCTTAACAGTCACAGTGGGGCCAATGTTTCTAATATGTAAAACTTGGGGGACACAAGTCAAGCACCAATAAGTTTGGGGTGGATATTCAAACCACCGCACTAATGTAGGGCTAATCAAATCAAGTATCCCTGCTCCTATATTCATGTTGTTTAAAACTCAATATTTTGAAGTTGCTTTTAGAATTCTTAAGAGATATGCCATAAGACTCACATTAAACATTTTAAAGAACTTGACAAGTGTTTTTCCACTGTTTTTAACAAAAATGGTGCCTTCTGTCCTTGTGGTTAGGGGCAGCAACTCTGTTATCATTGATTGACAGCCTTGGAAACAGACCATCTTTTTAAAAATGAAAATTGCTTTCTAGAAGTTTTCTTTTTTATAATCTAATATGTCCTTGACATTCAAAGTATTTCTTTCACTCAGCAGTTAGTGACAGTGACAGTAGTTAAGCAGGTGCTACATGTTTTCAGAGTCTGAATTGTGATAAAGAAATAACAAAAGTTTTCTTCAGGTCCAGTCCAGAAGTTGTTTCAAGGTATCTGTGTTTCTTACTAGAAACAACCAAGCAGCCGAAAGCAACAACAACAAAAGGGAGGGATTTTCGAGTTCTGGCACTAAATCTAGTGAGGGGCAATGGCAATAATGATAATGTCTCCTAAGATTCTAGAAGAAAACTATGGGAGTAATAATTGAAAAGCAGAAAAGACCTTAACAACCATGAAGTCTTATGACCATATATATTCCTTGAATTCTCTACATACTGGCCTTACCAGGCTCCATACTAGTGGCAGAGCAGTTACAAATAAAAGTGTAGTAGTAATAATTTAGTAACAGTGATACCAGCTAATATCAAGCACTCACTCTGTGCCAAGCTCTGTTCTGGGTTTTTTTTCATCCTTATGCCAACCCTGTGAAATAGCTACTATTATGCCCCCATTTTACTGATAAGGAAAGTTGAGACTTAAAGAAGTTCATTCAATTGCTTGTGCTCACATAGCTGGTAGGTGGCTGAGCTGTTATTTGAATGTATACAGTTTGCCCAGTACTGAAATTGCCGCCAGTGGTTCAGAGAACTATTGCTGGGAAAGAAATTCTAATGAAATAATTTACAAGCTTGTTAGCATAATGAGCACGGAGAACTTTCACTGTGCCACGCCAAAACATTTGATTGGTTGAGATTGGACGAATGATTACTAAGAGAACTTAGAGGCTATTTCACCTAAGTAATTTGGAACCTTGCTTCCTTGGCTTCCGTTTCTGCTGCAACAATACCCAGTTCTTTCTCACTTTTAGCCTTTACTCTTGAGCCTCTGCTTGAAATGCCTTTTTCCTCCTCCTTTCATCCTTAGCACCCAGCTCATAGGTCACTCCTCCTGGAAGCCTTTCCAACCCTACGCTTTCCTCCCTTTCCCCAAGCTACTAGGTCCTCTCTTCAGGGCTCCCATAAATAATATTCTGTGCCCTAGGCCTGTCTTTATCACTGTACATCATCTTCCTCCCTCTCCCACTCCCTCCCAGCCTACATGGTTTGCAACTCCCTGCTGGTCACCCCACTGGACTGATCTGGTGCCAAGGGATTGTGTTTTACTCTTCTTTACATTCCCAGCTCTTAGCAGGTAGCAGGTTCTTAATGATTGATTTAGGAGATCATAAAGTCTTTGTATTATATAATACGAAACTGTGTAAAAAGCTTCTTGCTTATTTCCCCTGAAGAAAAAAGGTAGAATCTTTTTTTTAGGTCAGTAGTTTACCATGAGGTAAAAAAAAACCTCAGTTTGATACATTAATGCATCCATTCTGCCAGGAGGGTGTTTACTGGAAGAGAAGACAGTACTTCCCAGGGGCTCTACAGGAAATCTCAAAGATAGTTCTCAGTGAAAGCCTGAAAATTTTGTTTCCTATATTTCAGATCCAATTTGGGGCAGGCCAAGCAAAAAAAGTTGTGAGATGATATTTGGCCACTTGATTAAAATAAGATTGTGAGTGAGAAACAATCACTGGTTACCTATTTAATCAAAATAACAATAAAACATTAAAATTAAATATATAAAAATTGTAAGGAACCTTAGCTCTTTCATATTTGAGAAACCATTTTGTTTTGTTTTGTTTAAATAATCAAGGATGTAATAGAGTCAACATAAAGCATAGGAAACAATTCTGGTAAAGCACAGAATCTCTGCTATCTAGACTGATTGCACCAGAGGTAAAAAATAACCTTTCCTGTTTTAAGTGAAGTCATTAATCACTAAACCAAGGAAACTACCCCATCAAGATTGAGCAAACTTTGTTAAAATGTTAACACATCATAGCTTCTTTTTAGACTCAGTTTTTATAAATCAAGACAAAATTCACTTTCCAAGTTTTGTCCTCATATGTGCTTTCATATGTGGGACAAATTGACACTGTAGGGTGTAGTTCTCTCTCAGGAAGTCTGCAAGGTCAAAACTATTTTCATAATGATATTAAGGTGTTATTAACATGCCATGTGTTTCTCTCATTGCTATTTTCAAATCAATTAATAAGTATGACAGATTTTTCAGTTTTAGTTTCTGATTTTAATTTCTAACAGTAAATATTAATAGTTATGCTCCACATAAATAAAAGCTCTTTGGGTCCTCAATAGGTTTTAAGAGTTTGAAGAGATCTCAAGACCAAAAAGTTTGACAACTGCTGCTTTAGGACAACACTACTCATTTTCCTTGAAAAACAAAAACACACAATTGTATTTCTCTGTCACGGTTGATTCTAGTATAGTCTCAAGCACTCATTAATTTTTAATGAGAGTAACTTCTATTTCACAGAGACAACTGAAGGGGTAAGGCAGGATTGTCAGTCCTACACAAACATTTTAAGCAGACTAGCAAAGTTCATGAACACATACAGTACAACTTCTCTAGCCACACTCATCCCTTTCATACCTTCTCAAAATGACAACAAAGAACATGTTTATTATAATGACTCAAAGCAATAGCCTCTCTAGTGAATGTAAAGATAAGAAGCAAAATATTAAGTGTATATAAACTTTAAATTATGCTTAGTTATCAACGTGTCTGTATCCTATCTTACTTAGAAATTATGTAGACAAAGGCAAATGAACAAAAAGACTTAAACCAGATTCTCTGTCCTCACTCACCCAACAGAGAATAGGTCTCTACCATCCTTCTACAGAGATCACTGACTTGTTACAGCATTAAACCAAATTCACAGTCTTTGCTGTCATCAGTGGGGACAAGCTTATTGGCCGTAAGTGAACCAGAAACAAAATCCCAAATCAGGAGAGGCTGGGGAACACACTAGAGAAACAGTCATTCTGTTGCCTTCAAGGATTCACTCTGGGAGCCGAGGAAAGAGGAGGTGCACTTCCCAGCAGCACCATTCACCTGGCTCAGTCAGTTGACTCCATTGGACTTTGCTGGATGGCCTCTAAGACTGTTAAAGGATAGTTTTTTAAGGTAAAATCATGACTCTCATACAAATATAAAATGATGAACATTGTCAAACGTTTTAATTTATTAAGTAATGAAGGAACCAGTAGAGTGTTAACGATCAGTTCTTCCTGATGATTTTTAATTCCTAAATACCTAGCTACTCTCTTCCTCTCCACCCCTACTGCCACCACCCTGATTCAGATTCTCATTTCTTTATCTTTCCTGCTGGGTAACAAACCAGCTTCTTCAGTGATCCTTCTTCATCCACTCTGACCGCTCTACATTTAGGACCCCACCCTGCAACCAGAAGTACTCTAAAGAATGCAGGTCCATCCATGTCACGCCCCTCACCTGACCATCCCCCCACCTCAAAAAAAAAAACTTTAAAAATTCTTCATGTTTCACTATATCCAAGCTGGGGCCCAGGAACCTGTGTGTTTAACAAGCTTTCCAAATTATGCTCTGAACAAGTTTGAGAACAGGATAAAACCCAAGCCAGTCAAATAATACTCTTGCATGGCCCTTGCTTCCTTCTTTAGTATCATCTTTCACCACTCTCAGCTTCTCACGGCCAAATTACTTGAAGTGTTCTTTGCCTGGGAGTTCAAGTCAGGTTTAGACTGCTTTTAAAGCCTGCACATGCACCCTGTCCTCTCCAGAATGATTCAGTGCCCCACTTCTGCTTCACGTAGCTTTTCTGCACGGTGCTTTGAAGTCTTTTGTATCACTGGATTATTGGTGCCTATTGCTATACCCTGTGCATAGTAAACACGCAAACATTTGTTGAAATGGATCTTAGGCAGATCAGAGACATCTCTGGCCATAGGGATCTAGCTAATGTGACTAAGCTAATGTATTTCTCATTTCAGCTCCTGGTGGGCCCATGTGGAGATGGGACCCCCAGATCCCATCCTGGGAGTTACAGAAGCCTATAAGAGAGACACCAACAGCAAAAAGATGAATCTAGGAGTTGGTGCCTACCGCGACGACAATGGAAAGCCTTACGTACTCCCTAGTGTCCGGAAGGTGAGCTTGCCATCCATCTCCTGCTGAGTCAGGGTCACTCCTGGAGAATGGCAGAAGAGTGCTGGACTGCAGCTGGGGAGCCCTGTGTTCTATTTCTTGCACTAACCACATGAATCACTCAGGTTTTCTGGGCTGTCTCCTTGGCTGTAAAAGTGAGAGGTTGAAACCACATGGTTTTTTCCAAGATTGAACTTTCTGTGGTTGTTCGATGACCTATAAAACAGGCAGTGTCATGTTTAATCCTGAGGGTATACAAGAGAAACAAGAATTTACATGCTGTCTCTTGGTAAGAGGAATAATCCTTTATGGATGAGGATTGCTATTGTTTTTTTCATTTCTCTCATTTTGGTTGCCTTAATAAAACTCTCGTACGCAGGTTTGCCCTGTCCTTATAACTTTTTTTCACTCTTCTTTGTTTTTGTTATATTATTAGTAATAGTATTTTTGTTAGTTAACATTATAAGTTTAAAATATAACTACTCCCCTTAGAACAATTTTTAAATTATTCATCAAGTATTTGCTACTGCTACAAGCTTGAACACAGCCCAGCACTATTGCACATGACCTCATTGACACTTCTCAACCCCACAAGATGCAGAAACAGTTGTTCCTCCATTTAACAGGTAAACTGAGACTTGGGAAGGTTTAATAACTTGCCCAGGGTCACATCACAGGTGGAAAAGGACTGCCAGGCCCGTGACTCCAAAGCACAAAGACATGTGGCTGTTACTATTAACCCTTTGAAGTTCTTGACAGGCATATACCTTGAAATGTTTCTCTTTTATGTATTTAGTCTGACTTTATCATCTTACATTTACTTTAGGTATTGCTCTTAAACTCTTCTTGTCCATTCCAAGAATGCCATTTTAAGTTAAATGGTAACCAAGAAAGACTGTACACCCATTCACATAAAACTTAACTTAAAAAAAAAAAACACACAATAAAAAATATTTCTTTTCTGTAGTATAAAATATCAAGTTATTACCCTTCTTCATGGACATTAACTCAATAAAAAACAAGGCTTTGGCTGGCTGATTGGTTCAACTGGTTAGAGCGTGGTACTGGTAACACCAAGGTCTAGAGTTCGACCTTCATCATCCAGCCGCCAAAAAAAAGAGAGAGAAAGAAAAAAATAAGGGTTTACCTCTAAATTTTAATTAATAAAACTTTAAATACTAATCTTAGTAATCCTAGGTAGGAAAAAGAAACTAAATGAATGTATTTTCTCTTATCTAGGCAGAGGCCCAGATTGCTGCAAAAAATTTGGACAAGGAATACCTGCCCATTGGGGGACTGGCTGAATTTTGTAAGGCATCTGCAGAACTAGCCCTGGGTGAGAACAGTGAAGTGTTGAAAAGTGGCCGGGTAAGCTGCACAGACTCTGGCATCATCCAGGGTCTGTTTTTAAATTTGATAATTTAAACAAATTTGAAATAATTTAAATAATTTTAAACAAATAAGAAAAGATAACTCAGTTTTCATGTGTGTAATGATGGTTTTAAGGTGTCCAAACTATTGCTAATAACTCCTTTTTAGATAGTAAATTGGCAATAATTAAATATTTCGTATAACACCAATTCAAAAAATGTGCTAGTAATCCTGAAAATGGAGTAGTAATTTGACTGATAGATTTGGCACTGATTTTACTGTTAATCTCCATCTGCTTATGTTCATTTTACACTGAATATGCTTTAGAAATGCTTACCTATGACTAGTTTTAGGCCTATAATTAGCACCCACCCTCGTGTCCTAAGCTTTCAGCTTGGATGGAAGAAGAAGGCAGAAAACAAGCCATGGGTGGACTGTGGGGCTGGGACTCCTGCCTCCCCTTCACAGCCAGGTCGGACATTGAAAGAGAGAAGACCATGCTCCCAATGTGAGAGCTTATGTCATTATGGTTTACCTTCTTTTGGAAAAAAATGTGTTTTTTAATGAATACATTTGTGTATTTATTTTAATGGGTAAATCTGGGAATGGGGGAGACATACAAGTTAGCAAAATTAAGCCAACATTCTCAACCCCCCTCCCCCTCTGAAAAAAAACAGAATAAATACAGCTTATTTACAAGACTGGTCTAAAGTCCACACATTAGTTTGTTAGCTCAGAGGAAAGCATACAACCTCAACCCCAGAGTGATGTAGTCATTATCCTAGGTCACAGACAGAATATGGCTTAGTTGCTATCCATAAAATCAACCGTATGTTAATCCCCCATGAAACCATCTGGATTTTTTTTTTTTTAAAGATGACCGTAAGAGGATCTTAACCCTTGACTTGGTGTTGTCAACACCACGCTCTCCCAAGTGAGCTAACCGGCCATCCCTATATAGGGATCCAAACCTGCAGCCTTGGTGTTATCAGCAGCACACTCTCCCAAGTGAGCCACGGGCTGGCCCCTAAACTGTCTG